CACACACATACATACATACATATATATTATATATATATTATTTTTAATTTTCTACTTCAAAATTTCATGTTTATTTCAATGTGCCATTTATATTTTTAAGTGAAAATTGTTTATACCTAAATTATTTTTCAGTGTACATCAGCCATCCTGCCATCTAGATATTAGCATCAAACCTTTTAAAAAACCATTCCAGTTAACCACCATCCACACCAAATTCAAAGGGTGAATAATATTTCAGCGACGTCTCATTGTTAAGTGCATGAATGCTGAAGCACACAGCTGTGTTTCTGTGGGGTTATGTTGTTAACTGTGTGAGTGGCATGTGAGTATCTCTTCAAGTCACCCAGAACAGCCTGTCAGTAGGCGGGTTGACACTGAGGTCATGCTGCCAGAGACAGAGGTCAGCCGGGACACAGGCATTCCTGGGTGATGGAGTGGGGTCTGGGAAACGGCTGTTTAAACAGAGGGAAGGCTGCTTTCCCCCCACTGGCACCAGGGGCATTGTTTCCACTAATCCTTCAGAGCCCCCGTCGAAAAAAAGCACAGCAGGAAACCGGGGCCCGAGGCACCCACGACAGAGACGGAGATCACTGTTTGTTCAACAGCGAAGTAAAGGGGATGCAAGAGTTTGACTTCTTAACACCTGCCACTCGGATCAAAGGGGCGTAATAAATATCGAGGGGGGAAAGTACATGGCATAATGTTTATTGCAATCCTAGTTCAGATGCAACCAGATAAAGCAGCATGACACAGACGTACTGACAAACACATTTGTGATACATCCTGATTGTGTGTGGTAGGTATTCTGGGAGCAGTATTCAGGGTTATGTCATACACACTGAAAGCTTTTGCTTCCTACGAATGGTACATCTTAATGCATTAAAGCCAGAGCAGCTTTTTCATGTGCACTTCAATTTGAAATGATACGTTATGATAAGCATCAGCTTAGGGTTTAAAAACCATTGCTTTAGAAAAAAAACTAGTTTTTATCACCATCTTAAACAAGCTCAACATGAAACAAACTGATATCTGGTGCAAGATGAGCATTTCAGGATGCAACACGACTTTCAGCGTTTTTTCCACCAGAATGACAGCAAATATGTTTTAAATACACTTTATAATAATAATAATAATTTACATATGAAATGATTGTTAGATTATTTATTTGAATTCTTAACAGATCATTAAAGTATATTTAAATAGTTAAAAGATAATTAATATTTTTACACATACAGTGGCCCCCAAAAGTGTTTTGGACTGAATGGAACTGCATTTGATTACATTGCATTAGATGCACAATATTCCAACATAGCATTTCACACACACAAAAAAAAAAACTAAATTTTTCCACTGATCATCATGATCATCAGAAAAGTGAAATGTTGCATTTTTTCAGTTTCTTTAATATTTCACTATCTAATGCAATGGCATTTACACATTTAAAAGTCTTTAAATACTTTGTCTTCACTATGAACAATACATCTATTGTTTCAATCATGACAAATCTAAAATGAATGTCTTTTGTGAAATGTTTTGGCTAAAAAAAAACACAAATTTCTTTGACACATCTTCAAAACATCTTTAATCCATCTTTAATAGAAAGAACGGCATAAAAAGAACATCGTTTGTGAAATGTTTTGGTTTAAAAACATAAAAAAATTAAAAATTTAATTTAAATTTAATTATGAGAATGAATTTATTTAATAAGTCTCCAAAACATCTTTAATGTGTCTATAATAGAATGGATGTCATAAAACAATGTCTTTTTAAAAATGTTTTGGTTTTAAAAAATAAACATCAAATATAAAATATAAATTAAATTAATTGAAATTCTTTATTTAACATTAATAACCCTTGCTGTTGATATTTTGTTATTTACTCCAATGGCATTCAAAAATTCTAAGTGTGCAAATACTTTTTAGGGCCATTGCACATGATCTACTGATCTGTTTAGCATAATATAACAATATTTAGGATTTATAATGTGTCAGCATTTTTGACAGAAGAAATTCATCTGTTCTTACCTGTCATATTCAGCATTGTCCTTGTCGCAGCGAGCATCTTTATGCTTCTGCCAGTCTTTGCCATGCTTGCATGTGGTGAGGAGAACCACGTCTTCAGCATTATGGATGTGATAAAGCGCATTCCTGGTATCAGATCCAATCCCAGTCAGATAGCGCTTGCCTTTAAAAACCAGCACATATTTCCTAAAGGGAGGGATGGTGTTGTATTTTAAATACCCCCTTTCTCCTCCAGTCCGGGGGTGATCTTTAGAGAACAAGGGGATGGAGATGTCAAAATTGGGTCTGAAGTTCTCGGTGCTGATGCTGGCTTTGGCCAACATGGCTTGTCCGATATCAAACCCCAAATCCTCCGTGTAATCTGGCCATGTGCCCGAGTACAGGTTAAAGATCAGGTGGTTCCTCCCGTTATTCCACAGGTTCAGGTTCTGGATCTTAGTTTTGAGGTTGTGGACGTACTGAGGAGACAGCTGGTCTCGGTCCAGGGTGTCAAGGTTCAAAACAAAGAGACAAGCCTGTCCCGGGTCAGAAGTGTAGAATCTGGAGCTCTCGATGGAGGACAAGATGTTTTGGTAGCTTTCTGAGATCTTCTCACCTTTCTGTTGAGGGTAGACGTAGACTTTGAAGCCGTTCCTCCTGCACAAGGAGAAGTCAAAGCAGGAGTCCATTCTGCACTTGTAAGCTCCGGAGTTGTCATCTCTTTTGTGTCTCGGAGAAACGCGGACATTGTAGTCCTCCGTTTCGGTCTGATCCCACGGAATAAAAGCACGTAAGGGGTCTGAGAAGTGGGGCCAGTGTGGATGGGGGTCATCCCCTCGGTTTGGAGTCCTTCTGGAAGCTGGTCCCTGCAGGTAAAAGAGGAGAATGAGACACACACCTGCAGAGAACAGAATTAAATAGCGTTTTTTGGCCTGCATGTGTCCTTAGATCCAGATGGAGCTGGTTGCTGATGAATGCAAAGGTCTCAACTCCTGCTGGACAGCATCTTCCACAGACCTGCAGGGATTTGATGCTCTCAACTTCCACCTTGTGATTCCAATCCCAAATCCAGAGCATGTGGGCGACTTAACCTGAAACCCTTTTTATGGATCTCTCTCCTCTCCGGTGCCTGGTTCACATTAGACAGCATCTAAACTCCTGACAGATTACACCTGAACCCTGCTGGCCATCGGGACAGTTCTGGATCAATGAAAACCACCAGAAAGTACATTCAGAGAAGACTTCTTCAAATCCAGCTTGGAGAAATCACAAACGGCAGAAGCGCTCAGATAAATGTCCAAGAGCTGGATCTCATGTGATGCGCGTGAGTCAGAAAGACCCTGTCACAAACTTCCCGAGCGGATAAATCCCCACAAATCCGTGTATTCTCCCATATTTTCCTCTGACAAATCCTCCAAAGGCTGGTTGTTCTGTAGCCCCTCGTAAAAACATTACAAACCGACACGTTTTTCTATTCCTTGCTACATTCACAGCGCGTTTGCGACGCCGATGATACAACGTTACATTCCAGCGCTTTAATCCGAAGCGTCCAGTTGCGATTGTTACATTGTAGCATTCCAATCCCCGCACGACGTCAACTGACGTCACGCGCCTCCGTCGTACACCGCGCGCCGTGATTGGGTCGCGTCATTTCCGGGCGGGCCGATGCTACTGTAACCCTTTCACGGCCAAAGTCGAGCGTGAAGGTATTTTAAAGCAACAACAACAAATGTATTTCTCAAAATAGAGACGAACAGAATTATTTAGACACTTAAGCCACACTTTAAAATGTCGGAGGGCCTTTGTATTAGATAACAGAATATCAGTAAGTGGCACTGATTGTAAACATACTTTTCAATCAAATCGTATTACAAAAAGAGGTTTGAGAGTAAGCAATTCAGGTCGTCAAACGTTCGAGTATAAAGTTAAAATGGCTACTTCTTATTAAATTGAGACTTATGCAAAACATATTTATGTAAAAGTAAAACAAGATTGTTCTTTTTATCCTCAAAACCTATAAAACAGAATTAGATTCTGAAATTTAAAATTTGTGAACAATTTCAGTTGCATAACTCACACTAAATGCCACTGAAAGTATAAAAAATGGCACAAAATTCTAAAAGCATGTGTCAGAGTTGACACTCCTATTTCTAGAAACTGGGTTAAAACATGATTTAACAATATTAATGTTGCCAAAAACATTTAGAAGTGGCACAATTTGATAACTGGCTACTGATGATGAAAAAAACTGGTCAAATATCCAAATCAAACCGATGTCAAAAACTTGACATGGCATTGATTTGATGTAAATTGACCATCAAACATATTGGCCAACATATACATTAAACCAATTCCAGTGTGGGAACTTCCTGTTTTCACCCAATTACCACTGGAAGAAATTGCCATCCAAACTGAATTTAAAATGATGTTACAGCATCTTGATCATGCCTTGACTAATATTTGACTTCAGATTGATATCAAGGTGCCCACTGGGTAGGAAAAGAGCCGTGTGAAGATTATAACATATAACAACATACAAGTTTAGAAAAAAAACTTTATTATTATGCATGTGGGTGAGTAAATAATTACAGAACATTAATTTGGGTGAACTATTCCTTAAAAAAAAGGTCATAATTGCACATATTTTTTTATTTATAATAGTTTTTTTAAGAGTAACAGCACAATAAACACACAATAAAGAACATTGTGAACATTGATGTTCACATGTATATTATCTGAATGAAATATATCAGGCCATCAAATATTTCTTTGAATTATTTGTACAGCTGCAGGGGTCTGAGAGGAGAGAGAGCTGAGACGGGGAGGTGCAAAGGAGGCATTTGAAACCGCATTCCTCGGAAGTTGTGGAGCCGTATCCGTATTTGGGTGCTCCTATGGGCCAGTGATCAAAGTGAAGGTCTTGCCTCCTCTCCTTTCTGTCCAGCATTCCTTCCATCCTCTCGTTCTTTCCTTTGGAGCTAATATTGGAAGTCACATTTATATTCGCACGTGGTCCTTTGAACATGTTTGATTGGCACACATGGAACTTTTTTCTTTATTTTCTGTGCTGGTTTTAGATGGAAATTCTCTAGAATTGATTTAAATATGGTTAATTGTGATTGTTTAATGCAATCACAATGACACCAGACTTGCTTCGATTGTCAAATTAGGACTTTATCACTTATTATTCATTGTGCAGCTTCATAATAGACATTTGAAATGTTTAATTAAACTTTTATCGACATTTTAAATGATACCTGAGTTTGATCCATTGATCTTACAGGGAGATTTATTGGAGGTTTTTTTTTTCAATAAAGATGTGACTAGATTTTTGTGAGATAAAATCATGTTCTGCAAAAATGGAACAAATCAAAGGCTGACTTTGAGACAATCTGGAAAGAAATTAATAGTTTTATTCATCAAGGATGCATTAAATTGATCAAAGGTGACAGTAAAAACATTAATAATAACAAAAGATGTAATATGAAAAAAAATCATGCACAGACTGACCATTTGGTAGAGGGAGAAGATTCTGTTTTTGTTTGTCTATATTTAGAGAAAGTAAATGTATTTCAACAATTAAATGAAGCCCTTTGTTGAGGAGAATGCAGGCTCAAAATGAATCTGTGGATGTCTGGAAGTTACCCTCAGAACAACATGACCAATGCAGAGTCATTTAAATTCCCCAACAGCCTCAGCAGAACCTTAAAGGGGTCATATGATGCGATTTGAAGTTTTCCTTTCTCTTTGGAGTGTTACAAGCTGGTTGTGCATAGATAAGATCCCTGAAGTTGCAAAGACTAAAGTCTCAAAACCAAAGAGATATTCTTTATCAAAGTTAAGACTCTGCCACGCCCCCCTAAAACGGCTCGTTCTAACACGCCCCCACATATCTACCTCACTATGTGGAAATATTAGCACAATGCGGCCCAAATGTGCAC